CAATGTTTTGAATGCAAAAGTGAGTTTGTTACACTTTTACGACTTGATGGCTGAACCAATTGCAATCATCATTAAATTTGGAATATAGGTATATGGGAGGGAATAGGATTGTTAGTAATGTGGACCATTGCTAGCAATGTACTATGAAAGATTGACCTCCACGTCTTTCTTAAAATCGCGTGATAAATAAATACCTGGTGAATTTGTCACCATCCTCCTCATGCTCATCTTATCATCCTCTACTGGTGCCACACCAGCCTAACCATGCACAGACACGTGCAATCCATTATCATCCATAAAAAATATACCTAGCATATCGGAGTAAAGAGCTCCACCGACAGGATCGTAGCTCTTAAATTATGAATGAATAAATCGGAGTATCGGAGTAAAGCGGACGAAGTCGAGGCCAGAAACTAGTGCGTAAACAAATCAGAAACAAGTATTCTCATCATGAGACATCAATATTTTCCCGATATGAAATAGTTTGAGGAAAATATGTATTTATAAACTAACATAAAAGACTATACAATTAGTTTGCTAATTAACAACACAGGTGTTTTACGTTCATTTGTTAACCACACAATAATAAATAACAGGCTGTCTGTATATACAAATTATCATTATTACATAGTATAACTATCGCTGTCTGTCCGTCCCTATGTATGCTTAAATCTTTGAAACTACGCAACGAATTTTGAAGTTTTTTCATATTCCAACAATATATATACACCCTGGCGAAGTCGGGGCGAGTAGCTAGTATAAAATAAACTAATATGAGAGTTTATGTTATAGCGGCAAACAGTTTTTATAATTTATGTCTGTCAGTCTACATGTCTGTTTGTACACGCATCACTGAAAAACTACTGTATGGAATTTAATATAGGTACTTTTCACTGATACCTATCTATAATATAATAATCTCAGGACAATTCATATAGCGCCATCTAGAGACGAGTTAAGCTAGCTGAAGCTTGTATTATGGGTACTAGACAACTGATACAAATACATAGATATATATATTTTACGTTAATACATACATATTATACATATAGCTAGAGGTGTAACTTAGAATATAAGCTCTATAAGAAACTACAAAGTACTGTAAGAAGTATTGCATAAAACTATCTAATATCGTGTGAAGCAAGAGTGAGTCGCTAGTTTATAAGTAGAAACTAAGATAGTTGTCATAGCAACATCTTTTTTTAGTTTCATCAATTGACATGGTAATTAACTTCATGTGTCATTAGCACTAACATAATAGTTTTTCGATAACTTGACCAGAAAGCAATTTACGGTCTTGAGAATTAATTTCATTCCTACTAGCTGTTCCCGCGACTTCGTCCGCGTGGAATTTAACTTTATTTTTCTAAATATAAGTAGCCTAAGTTACTCCTTATTACATCAGCTATCAGCCAGAAAAATCCCGTTAAAATCGGTCCAGCCATTTCAGAGATCAGCCGGAACATCAGACGAAAATGCTATTTTGGAGTATGTAAGTACTGTATTTATATTCATATGCATGTAATAAAAAAAGGTTATTTAAATATTACAAACAGACACTCCAATTTTATTTATAAGTATAGATATTCAAAAGTGATTTCAATTTCTTTGAATATATACATATACTTATGGAATATGTGTAAGCAAGAGCGATTCGCTAGTTTACAAAGTGGATTGTTATGTCGTCGTAGCAACTCTTTTATATTTCCATCAGTTGATCCGGTAATTAACTTCATATGTCACTAACATAATAGTTTCTCGATAACTCAACCAGAAATCAATTTATCGTATTGGCAATATTAATTCCCTGTATCAATTTAATTCGTTATATTCAAACGTGACTTGAATAAACATATATATATTATAGGTATATACACCATTTTATATATAGCGATAATATAATCAATTTGTTATATTTTTAGTGTTTTTCTTTTATATAGTATTATAGTAATAGATTTTCCTTCATTGTTATTCAGTGTTAAGTAAATTATAGAATCAATAAATTTTAAGAGTATTCATCTTATATAAAACCAAAACCAAAACCAAATAAAAAAAAGTCTTTTAATAATACTGAAGAAAAAAATCTAGGTATATAAAGCATAGATTTTAAGTAACGATAAAAAATCTGATAACTAGCCATTGCACTGACACTAATTATTGACACTTGGTTAAACTTTGTACATTCATGGTGATAGGGAAACACTTGAGATATCGTTCTTTTGAGGCTTAAAAATTCGCGAACATATAACATATGTCATATATTATGAAGCCAAAATAATAAAATAAAAAAAAATTAAAGATTAATATGAAAGTTCATCTATAAAGTGTTGCTTGAAATATACATTAGAACACTCCTACCATTGTATACAAGTATTTATCTACATTACATTATAAACAATAAAAATATATTTATGGATACATATACCTCTATATATATATATTTTCATACTACAAAATACAACAGTAATAAGTAAATTGAATCGATCGAATGTACAGACTAACGTATTGAATTATCGAGGCATATCGATTTAAAACTGCAAAGCACAACACTAGCAATTTATCGACAATAAATTGTCCACGTTGGCGGATTCAAACGTGTTTTCGTGTCCGGCGTCGCAGATATTTACATAATTTTATTGCTGATTTAAATATAACCATGTCATCCACACAAAAGTAGATCGTTTAAATGTTACACAACAATCTGACAATAAGTCTAGATGGGACATTATGGATAATAAAAGAAATTCTTTTACCTATAGCTACATTTTATATTACACTAGCTACTCGCCCCGGCTTCGCACGAGTATCTTACTAATATTATAAACGCCAAAGTTTGTGACTATGGATGAATGTTTGTTACTCTTTCACTCAAAAACTACTCAACGGATTTTGATAAAACTTTTCAGTCATATTTTCATATAAAAATTACGCGTCACGTTGTTTGTTCACGATGGAATCCTAAACTATTGAACTGATTGCAAATTTTATTTGCACATTGTGTGCAATTTGATCCAACTTGAAAAATAGGATAGCTTACATCTCAATTTATAGTTGCAATATTATTTTATTCAAGTACCTCAGCCACAGCAACGCCTGGCCTGGTCTACTAGTAGCATATATATCAGAATAACGCATAAGCTATTAAAAATATGTTTAAATTGTACGAAATATAATGATGAATGTAAAGTAAGTGTGATACAGAAGTTTCGCGATTGAGCTAGTTATACACATAAACCTTCCTGAATTACTCGCATCTATTGTTATAAACTGCATTAAAATCCGTGGCGTAGTTTAATAGATCTAAGCGAACAGACAGCGAAAGCGACTTCATTTTATATACAGTAACTGTTCCCGCGACTTCGCGTGGAATTTAACTTTTTTTTTCTAAAATAAATGAATTTTTCAAAAATAAAAATAACCAAAGTTACTCCTTATTACATCAGCTACCTGCCAATAAAAGTCCCGTCAAAATCGGTCCAGCCATTTTAGAGATTAGCCGGAACAAACAGACAGATAGACAAAAATTGTAAAAAATGTTATTTTGGTGTATGTACCGTATTTATATACATATGCATGTAATAAAAAACGGTTATTTCAATATTACATACAGACACTTCAATTTTATTTATATGTATAGATGTACAGATAAAGATTGCGTGGGTACCTCGTACACACAGAACCATTCTTAACATTTTGTATTCACACAAACTCTCAAAAATGCTGAACAACATTAATTTAAAAGAGCTACACGCAGTCGCAGCAGCTTCACCAGACACGCAGTCGACTTATAGAACTAAAGGCCAACTCTGATAGAGATATTCAGTGGATTACATATATAGTAGTAAATATAATTTAGCTTCACCGTTACATACAAACTGACGATAGTGGGGAGTGCACATTTGACATTCTCCATCTCTACATTTAAATAACATACATAATATAAAACAATATACAGAAGAGTAAACAATAGAACTACTAGCAAAAAACATATCCAAAATTAAATCTGTTAAAATACTAATAATTTCTGTTGGACCTATACCGCCCCCTTAACAGAATAATTTTGTAATATTTGAGTCACAACTACCTTTAACTTCGGACCTGATACACATTTCGTCAAGATATCTGCTATCATGTGCCTAATAAACTCCCGCCTGACGGATAGACTTTAGTTTGACGACACCGCTAGTCGAGTCTCGACTCAGGCCGTCGTTTCGATCACCGTTTGATTTGGACGGGGGGATCGATCTGTGGGGTTCTAAAGATATCTGAAACAAAATCTAACATACTCTACATACAGGAATGTACAGTATGTTAGATTTTTGTTATCGCACCAGTACGTGCTATATTGTTACCATCATTTATCAAAATTTACTTTAATTATCCATTTAGCTGCAAAAACACAGCCCACAACCGAAACGTATCTTTTTTTTCTGTTTATTTTTTTGGGATTTTGTAACAAAATTTGACGATAACAATCCCATCGTACCTATACTGAATAACATCATCACTGCCCTGCCTTTATATCATTACTTGGGGTAGGCGGCTTATATTAAATAACTAAAAAATCAACTTAAAAAACTTAAACTATGTGATACCATGTAGTACAATAACTTGGCTGCATCGAAATAAAGCTTACAAAGCAAGCTGCTTGACGGCTAATATAGCTGAGACACATGTCCATACAGATTGTTTTTCTAATTCAAAATATCTTCATTCATGTAGATCTATTATAGACTCTTATATGTCAAATCTAACGACAGTTCGGAATGATTTCGAGATGAGAAGAACTGACAAGAAACTCGTAGTCTTTTCAAATAAATGTAGTATATGCTTACAATAACACAGATCCATTTTAAATTCAAATTAGAATAGAGTGACCACCAGAATATGCTATTGCAAAAGCAAAAAGTGTAATCAGTGCTCGTAACCTGAAGATGATTTTGTGCATAGTGAACCTGGATGAACCGCTCCTAATATCTGATAAAAGAAACCAATCCTACCTTCTGGTGAATCTTGGCATTCTTGGTCGGCTTCACAATTGCGGGCTTCGGTGCTGGAGGCGCGACTATGGGCTCTGTTGACAAACATTGTTACATTAATTACAAGTGGCATTCAATGAACAATGCATACACGACTCGCACGCAATATCCATGTATACGTGAAGCAAAAACTTTATAACCCTTCTTACGAAATTAGCGATTATGAAAATTGGGAGATTTATAAATTACTAGTTGTGTCTAAAGTTTCACCATCATGAAATTTATAGCCTACATGTTATTCTGATATACAAACTATATATTATTGTAAAGTTTCATCAAAATCTGTTCAGTAGTAGAAAAGTAACATAGATCCATTCATACTAGCAAACTTTCGCGTTTGTAATATTAATAAGATTATATACAATGGTAGGAGGGGGATACCTGGTGGTGGCTGCGCCCTGCCCTGCTGCTGCGGCTGTAATGGAGACCTCTTCTCCTCTAAGACTGCTGGGGGAGGCGGGGGCGGAGCACCCGTGGCGCCACCACGCAACTGTAAAAAAACAATCATTACATTTCTAGAAATAAGGCAACAAATCTATACTAATGTTATATATGAGTTTGTTTGAACATGCTAATCTCAGGAACTACTGGTTCGAATTGAAAATTTCTTTTTGTGTTGGATAGTCCATTTGTCGAGGAAGGCTTTATTACAATACGACCAATAGAAGCGGAAGGTCAACCTGACATGATACATTACTAGCAATAATATCATCAGTCCACATTACTTAATTAACAACCCCCCCTCCCCCCTCCTTAGAGTACGGTTATTTTTGATATTGATAATAACATCAGGAAACGCGTCAATTTCTTTGCCATTCCATTACATAAAAAAGCCGCATGCACCCGAGCGACGCCGGGACGCGCCACTAGTTCCCTATATTTGTCACCAATTCCCCACTCGGCACACATACACAAAGACTTGTGGCATTTTTTACAACGAATCCAGTTCTATCGGCGACCGGTTTTTCATTTAATTTCAAAAGTTGTATGGCGCAAATCATAAGAGTTAAAGTTCATGGCGATAAAAATTCAGACCAAAGAGTAAAACCACATTTTTAAGCAATAAATTTCATTTCACCAACAAAACAGTAAGACAGAATATTGAGATAGGTAGATAGTGATAACATATTGCTCTTTTTTACCCCTTTTATGAAATACAAATAATCTTTATTGAAATAAACTGTGTACAAGCACTTTTGAATGGCCTAATTTTTATTCAACCACTCATTCGGAACGCACATTCATGTACCTTCTGATTGCAAAACACTTCTAGTAAAATAAAGAGCTTAATCTTTAAATTGAATAAAATCGTGACCAGCCGTGTATTTTTTTTCATATGCATATTCAGTAGGTCTGAGAATAGGCTACTATCTATTTTTCTTACCCCTAAGTGAAGTGAAAATTTCCACTCTTCTATCATCAACCCCTATTTTTAATAGTAATTTTAAACGTTTCATATAAGCAATAGTTGTAAGGGCCATGTCTCCCAAAACTTCTTGTACTATACCGAAAATCGTTCACAAATAAATCATTTATTATTATTATAGATTAAGCATCAGAATAACAGGCTATGTATTACACGCGGGCGAAACCGCGGGCCCAACTAGTTATCAATAATATTTTTCATTTTAATGAATATAAAATTTATTAGATAATTCGCTAACAGTTTCAAATTGCACCACACGCCAATTGTATTAAACACTTTGTTTTTTACTGATACATACATGTTATTCTGTTACTTTTAATTAGAACTTTAAAGGCATTGAAATAAAGTTACTTTTTAAGTTACTTCTGAATGATAGCATATACATTATATAGAATATACCTACTACACATTAAAATTATTATTTAAGACTTTCTTCAGATAAAACAACTAATTGGATTGTAACCAAATTTGACAACTAGCTAACCCGCGGCGTTGCCTGTATGAAATACGAATTATGTTTGTCATTCTATCATCGTCATCATCATCTGCTTCTTCCTTATCCCATTCATATGTGGTCAGCGAAATATGTTTCTCTCTTCCATTCATCCCTGTTCGCAGTCATCTCGTTATTTACTCCTTTTCTTACCATATCATCTTTCACACAGTCCATCTATTCCAATCATATAAAAAAAATTATACGGAACCCAAAATCTAAAATAATGATGTCATCATAGATCGCCATCATCATTTACAGATCGGATGATTTATTCATACGCATAAACATTTACTCATCAACAAAACAGCACAACTCACAAACAACATGCCGTTTCAATTTGAACCTTATGCTGTTATCACAAGGTTTGAAGTCGTGTAGGAACTACGAGACAAGGCAAGATTCTCTGGACCCGGCATTATGTAGTTTCAGAAAGAAATTGCCTTTTAAATTTGAACCTTATTCTGTTTTCACAGGGTTTGAAGTCGTATAGCAAATGCGGGATAAGGTAAGCGTCTCCAAAGTCGGCATTATCAAGTTTCAGATTCAGATGAAATCATAAGGAAGCGGTCTATTTTTTTTTATTATAGTAAATTAGCTGTTAGTTATTAACTTAATCTGTTTTTGTTTGAGATAAAAATTTAAGATATTTCAGTGATTTAGGACATTTAAGAAATACAAGAAAGAGAGAGTACAATCTGTTTCCGCAAAAATTTTAATTAAGATCTGTTCAATAGTTCTACTCGTTGTTAGTTAGTTGACAAAACTTGATCTTCACCAAAATAGGCCTATTTTGGTGAAGATCAAGTCTTGGATTGTTCATAAGAATGAGCTTTTATACAGTTAGTACAGTAAGTTTTTATACAGTTCATAAGAACAATCCAAGACTGTATAAAAACTTGTTAAAATGGCAAGATATTTAAGTTATAATGAATTTTCAGAAAAACCAACGAAATACTTTATATTTTCTGTAATAATAAAATAGCCGAGTAGAGAGGAATATAAATATTTCAGCGAAAATTTCTAATAAAAGTATTGCTGTCGCGCTTGGACGAGGGCAGACGCAAGGTCTCTGAAAGAGATAGAACGAACACTGAAGAATACCTACATCGTAAATTAAAAATAAGTAATCCTGGACAATTAACATAGTTTTCCGGTATGCAGATCTTGTGTTATGGGTACTAGACAACTGATATAAATACTAAGACATTTTATTTATTGCATGGCTTAAAAAATCTTATTAATATTATAAGGGCGAAAGTCTGTGAGCATAAATGTTTGTTACGCTTTCACACAAAAACTACTGAACGGATTTTGATGAAACTTTACAGTAATATAGCTTATACATTTTAATAACACATAGGCTATAATTTAAAAAGATATGTAAATTACGCCCAATTTACATATCTACTAGGGACAGGTCACGGGCTACTTGGTGGAATAAAATTAAGAAGCAGATGGACCAGGACAAGCTTAATATACAGACAACCCAGAACAGAGTTCTCTGGCGCAGATGAGACCCGACCCCAGATAAACTAGGAACATGGGTTGGACAAAGATGTAAATTGGGCGTAATATAAGAATAAATGTCAAGTCAGTGTGATGCAGACGAAATTGTCCGGGTAAAGCTTACAGAATCATAATAATGCACGGAACACTTCAATAAGCGAGTACAACTCGCGTACACCGGCGTTTTTACAGAACTACGTTCGAAGTTTAACAAAAAGCTACGAGTGAGCGTTTTTGCGAGTTCATTGTGGCCACAAAAATAGCGTTTCATCACAAGTAACGGTTTATTTCCGAAATTCTATATCTGAAAATGTAATTAAATAAATAACCCTGGACAATTAACAGCGCCATCCAGTCCTACGTTAAGCAGAGCTTGTGTTATGGGTGTTAGACAACTGATGTAAATACTTCGATATTTTTTTTTTGTAAATGCATACATAACATAGATAGAAAATACCCAGATAGATACAAACAATCATGCTCATGAATACAAATTTTTGCACCGTGCGAGGGATCGAACCCGCGAACGTCGAAAGTAAAACGGTGTGTTAAACTGCTAGACCGCCGAGGCCGTCGCCGGTTGTATATCTTGGCTTTTTGAACAATTACCAAACACAGAGACTAATGGAAGAAACAAAAAGTCAACAGGAGATTTTCACTCTCATATAGGAGGGGTCCTTATAACTGTATATTTCGTTAAACTATATTTTAAATATATTTAAATTTCAAATCATTATATCTATCAAGATATTTACATAGTTGTAAACATAGTAACAACAAATGTTTGAAATACGAAAAAATAAAAGTATTTATAAATATTTGAAATAGCTGTGTAAAACATAATAATTTTATATGCGCAAGAAATAAAAGATGGTTATACTTTATTTTTACCTTGACTTATTATTCTTATAAATAGCTGTAGGAATGGCTACTAGTATGTTGTTTTAAACCAATTTATGCATACATGCCTATGCAATTTTGTACATTGTGAAGAGATTTTGGTATGATCTTTTTTTATAATTTCTAATTATCAAGCCATAAAATACATGTATCGTAATATATATATGTAAATAACACTATGTTACCATGTAGTTGCGAATGTAGTTAATTTTGGTAGTATCTTATACATCGCATACATAATATAATACTGACTCAACTAAAAAAATTACAAATTTTGGAAAATTTACTCTAAAGTTTCAATTTTAAAGTCTAATTTCCTACATTGTTTTGTATTAGGTATGCGAAATTACTTCTGTTGTTGGCACAAGTGAATTGTTCGTGTTTCTCTGTAATTAATCACGGATCTACTCGTTATTCAGTTAAGTGTGTCTTTGTAAAGAATTTTTGGTATTATCTTTTTTTTTTATAATTTAATACTTACTACTAAATTACAAAACTTTTCTATTATCGTATATATATATAAATAACACTGTGCCCTGGAGTTGAGAATGTAGATAATTTGGTAGTACCTCATACATCACACATACAATTCTGAATTAACTCAAAATTTATAAATTTTGGAAAATCTACTCTAAACTTTCAACTTTAAAGTCCAATTTCATACATTGTATTGTATATTGTAGTTGTGCGAAACGACGTCTACTGTTGGCACATGTGAATTGTTCGTGTTTCTCTGTGTAATTAATCACAGATACTACTCGTTATTCAGTTAAGTTTTTCAGACAAACGTGGGTAAGCACCATAAATATGAATTAATAGTAGCCATTTCTTTGCCGGTAACATTCGTGCCAACGTTTTACACGGTTAGTTGGTTCCGACGTTATCACCCGACTCAATCGAATGAAAAAGCTTAACGAAGACCATGAACAGTTTTAATTAACATTTTTCAGAATATAATAAAAAAATTATATTGACAAATTAATTTCACAAAATAAATCACGAATAATAATAATACGTAATAAATATGGTACAATAGGTATATAAAAAACAACAACAAAGATTTCATTGATATTCAAATTTTTGTTGTTGTTTTTATCAATTTTCTGGAGCCAATATTATTTAAACAATTGTTATTCAAAAGCAAGACAATGGATATATAAAA